AAGAGTGATGGGTGTCTGCGTAACTGGTCTCAATAACTCTGTTGAGGTTAATTATATTGATATTTAAATTAACTCTGGTTTGTGAGATGGCAGTCTTCAAATATATTACATTTATTTGTTGTAGGAACTTGCATACGTGGGATGTAAACCTAAATAATACTACTACTACTAATAATATAATTTTCTATGTATACTGGTTCATTTCCCAGTTCATCTATTCTGTTTCTTTTGCCTTCCGGTTCCCAAGAGCCTTACTGTTTCCTAAGAGAAATATGTTGGAGGTTAATGTTATTATGGAAAATTCAGTTATTGTTCTGCCCCACTGATAGAGTGGCATGTTGTAGAAGGGAGGAGAGACATTTGTACTTCTACGGTTTGGGTGTGGCCATTGAACCCAGCATATTCCCTATAGGAAAACTCTATAAATTTAGTGATGTTAATGTGGTAACCAACACCTTGTTTCTTCATCCCGTGCAAGTATGGCTTCCAGAGGAGTTGTGCTGTCATTGCCTCTCTGAACCCAAGCAACGCTCGTTCTCCTGATGGAGTTCACAATGGAAAATGCATATTGGTGTAGTTAATGCTGACCAGGTCAAGATTAAATCTTGTGGGTATTTACCCTTGAGGTTTGCCAGGGAGTTATGCTTCATAGAACATCGCTTCCCCTGTTGTACCTTTTCTCAATCCAGTCAATTCTTCCAAACCTGTGTAGCTGGGAATTTAATGCTTGTGCAGAAGAGCCCCTGTGGAGTTAGTGGGAGGAAAAACATGATGTTGGAATGGTTAACCTTTTTTTCTAACAGACTGGGCCATTTTAGTGAGTTTCTGTGATATATGCCTTTTTGTGTCTAAAAGCAGAGGGTATGATGTATAGAGTAGGTCTATACTGTAGTCCTTGCTATGTCCACAGTATAATGTAGAAATACAACACTTATTTTAAGTTAACAGCTAAGGTATTTACCTTAGTTTGCAGGAAGGTTTTGTGTCCTGGGCTGGAAGCCGTATTACAGCTACATTGCTGCTGGCACCTGTATTAACTAGTTTAAATGAGTAGGTCTGCATGTGCTATCTTTCAGTCAAATCAGTGACTGTTATATAGGCGTATCTGGAGTGATGGTGGCAGGGTAGCGTACCATTTAGGGAAAGGAATGGTACATGAATTTTGTGTACAAGTTATACTTCAGGAAGAAAGTGCCTTGACTCCTGGAAGGTAAGTTTGCTTGCACCCAGGCAATTAAAAAAAGAGAAAAATGGCCTTTTATCTAAAACCGAGTCATTCTTTACACATGAACATCTGGTGTTCTATAACCTGTCAAAGAGTGTTGTGTGTGAATGGAAAAAAAATGGCCTGTGCTTTTAATGGGAGGTTGCAGATCATTAATACTGACTCACTTGAGACTACTGAGAACACTGCACTTCTCTTACACAGCAAAATTAGAGAGGTCTAGTTCTATTTCACAATAACTATTACAATAGAATTCAGGTTTTCTAATCCAAACTTTGATTAATGCTTTTGACCGAAAGTACAAACAATCCACTTTCATGCATTTGGTTTTTACAGGTAATACAATGATGTGGTTTTTGCCAAGTGCTGTAATTATGGATGTCAGCACATCCATAACCCACGTTCCATTTACATATGTGTCTCCTGGTTCATTTATTCAAACAACTGGGTAAAAGACTATAACAGTAATTCAAATTGGACAGCCTGACAATTTTGTAGATAATAATTTTTCTGCTCTTTTTTTCTAGGAAGCAGAAGATGAAGTGTTTCTTGCTATTGCGAAAGCCATGGAGGAGATGGTGGAGGATCCTATTGACTGCTATTGGCTGGTCAATTGTTTTGTGAATCAGTTACATAACAAGTACAAAGATTCATTGCAACAATTGGTAAGACAAGTGGTTTGCGAAAAGAGGGATTATGCAAAGCGAATGGAGATGTAGCAGTAGTATCCAGACGCTAGCACAAGGGTCTATGAGTTAATAGACCTGGATTTTGTTCTTGTACTAGCTACTTCGGTATTAGAGCTCTCTAGTTGTGCTGTGTAAATTTCCTTCTAAGAACCAAATTACATGACATTTGAAACTGCTCTTGTTCCCTGAAACAGATGATTTGCTTATGTTTTTTTTAGTGTTTAGACATTTAAATTTGAAACACACAAATGCATAGGTTCAAGCACAGACCAAGATGATTGATCACAGTGTATCATGAACAGTGATGCTTTAATGTTTGTACCCAAGCTTAATTGCAAATCCTTACACCAGTGGTTACCCTGAAAACATTTTTGATTTTAAGCAGTAGATGCTGGGTTTTTACTGTGATACATTGTAGGTTGTTTGTAGGGTGCCTGATGGCTGTGGTGTATGAGAGGATGTAGATGCTGCTTTGGACACATTATTGGACTAATGGTTGCCTGCAAGAGCCAGGTGATTAGATTCAGTGCCTCAGGAGGCCCCTTCCAGTCCTCTATTCCAATTTTAAAAAGCTATAACCATCCTAACACCATTTTGACAATTTTCTGATACTTTTTAGACCGCTTGTAGACCTGCTTAAATGGCTGTGTCTCTGCTGCCTATATCCTCTTGAGCTGATAATCAGATAACACGTTCTGAGCCTCCATATAAGAGGAGTTGGGTGTTTTATTCTTTAGGAAAATAATAACTTTTAAATCTTACTCTAATAAAAAGACAAGTAGATCATGAATTTTGTTGTCAGTGAACACTTATAAGTTCTTGTAACCATATAAAGTTCTGAAAAGATTTCTGTTTAAAAAAGCCTCTTGATAAAATTGGCTTTGGTTTTAAGTTTGCCAGCTTTCATAAGAAAAAAATGCTTATCTGTATTTTCCCCCTAATTTTTCAAATGTCATGACAGGATAAAAAACCTGTTCTTAACCCATGTCCACTGATATTAACACATAGTGGAGGGCCTGATCTGCAGTTCTGAAGTTGGCGAGTATTGATGCAGATTCTAAATACAGATACATATTGCTGTTATCTTATAAAACTTAGAAAGCAGGTTTACAAAGATATTTCTCTGTCACCAGAGTTAATGAAGTCAACTGTATCACTTGCTATAACTCTTTAAAACGGTGTCTATGCTCCCCAAAGAAATGGTGCCTTGGCATTGTTCCTATTAGTAAAAGAAGTTGCATTCTTCTGTTCCAGGTTTTCTGTAATGCTGTATCATTCCACCAGATACCTGGATTGAAGAATACAGACAAAAGCAATCCTTCCCCTTCCCACTCCTTTTAGTAAATGAAGAAATTAGCAATTTTTTCAGCTGTGTTGTAATGTATAGTGCAGATTTTGAATTTGTGAAAGTATGTATTGGGATAAATTGGAATATAAATACATAATTGTTTCAATTGTCGTCTTTTTTCGTGCTGTTCTGTATGCCATTTTAAAATACTCTGGAGGGTTTTTTTAACAATAAAATGGTACCTACTTTTAATAAATTGCAAAGGGATTTACTTTGAGAATTGATTTTTTTTTCTCTTTTTCCTGTTATGTTTTGTTTTCTTGATGTACAAAAAGGGAACTAGGTTTGAGATTAACTAAATTTATTTTTACCTATGATGATGGCAGCAATTAGGGCAGTTTTAATCCTCTGCATCACCTGAAGCTTTATTACTCATTACTGTGGAAGGGAATGCTACATTAGTTAGGTATCCCTGTAGAGGTGGTTGCTTCTGCAAGGTGGGAGGGAGTTATTTAGCAAAATATTCCCTTAAGTAAGTCACAAAGTTCAACCATGCTTAAAGTCTGTAAAATTAACATTGCAATTTTATTATCTAACAGCACTGATTATTAGCATTTACTTCCTGTATGTAGGTTCAACTCTGGCTTATGCTTCATATATTTAAAACTACTTTCTCTCTTCCTTCTACAGCCAAAAGTTCTTGAACAGTATTTGAACCTTGAAGACAGCAGACTCCTGATGCATCTGAAGATGTGCTCCACAATGAACAAGCTTCCCTATAATCTTTGGTTTAAGAAGTGTTTTGCAGGCTGTTTACCAGAATCCAGTTTACAGAGGCAAGTATTTTCTCTGTGTTTACAACTGTTGGAGATTTCAATTTGTGTAGAAGTGAGGCCAACGGAGTACCTTAAAGAAGGTGTTTTTGAGAAAAAAATATTTTTCTTCACTGCAGTAAGATTTTAATGTTAATGGTGAGTTCAGTAGTCTTACTTGTTTACCTGGAACTCATTAGTCCATTTTAGGAAAGGGAATAGGGCTACATTTTTAAATGTTGTTTGTTGTAAAGAAAGGGTAGCTCTTTAGAGAAAAACACCTGAAGCTTTAAAGTGCAAGGCTGCTCAAGTCCTGTCATGTCAAAATCAGTTAGTTTAGGCTGTATACATTTCTGTACTGGTTAGGGAGAATCTTCGAATGAAAACAGGAAGGGCTTCTTGTAAAGCCGAAGAAGTTTACAGGAAACCTACCTTCAAGACATTTTTGAATTTAATACAGTGCCCCAATAATTAGAGTCAATACATGAAAATGTTATAACGCTGTTGTAATTTTCCATGTATAGAATGTAATTATTGGAGGGTCATCCTAAATTCACCCCCCACGCTGCTGCAGTGGGGCAAGCAGGAGTGGGGGTGGCAGGCAGTGAGGAAGTCAAGTGGTCTGACCCCCACCCTTTGTCCTCTGCTTTCTGTCCACCACTTGCCCTTACTGTGGTGCCTGCCACTTGCCCCCATGTGCCTGCATAGTTTGCAGCCCTTCTGTTTCTGTGTCTATATTATTGTTACTTGTCTGGTCACAATTAATTTTTGATTTTTAGGAACACCGAGGCAAAGCAAGCATTGAGCAACTTTTCTTTCTTTTTGTCTTGTGTTAGTAGCTCATCTCTTTTCAGCAGTAGACCCGTGGCTTCCCTGCCTATCATTTCTGACTGACACCTTCAACATTTCTTGCTGGTTGTAACTCATTTTTCATCTTTCTTTTCCTGATTTTCGTCCTGATATGTTCATGTTACTGTGTTTTATTCTTCAATAATTGCATGCCCTTTCTGTTACTGAATGTGTAGTGGCCCTGCTTTCCTATTCCTTTGCCTTCCTTGCATTAAAATAATGAATTCTGACATATTGTCGCAGTCTCCCTGAGTTCTGACCATCTTCACATTCTCCTATCAGTCTGTCTCTGTTGGTCAGAACGTCTAGTTATTCCCTCTTTCTGAAACAGAACATTATATTTCTATGCACAGTAAGACTAGCAACAGACATTGCATTGATCCAGCTGTGCCTGGATTTTTCACAGAACAAAAAAGTCACGGAATCGGTTTGTATGCACATTGCCCTTCCAGTTAGTTTGGTGAGCAGCCACTTTTCTGCCATTGATTCAATAATGCAATCCCAGGATAACCATTCAGATGCACTTTGTGATGTGCCATGACACAATGTTAGCACGTCTTATCCCTTGAACTGTCCTGGGACAATAGATATGGTTTCTCCTAGGACAAATGCGACGTCTGTTTTTAGCTAAAGAACTTACTGGGGATGTTATGCTTTGTCATATTTTTCTTCCAGTAGTTATCCGGGAAGTTAAAATCCCTCATAATTATTAGCTTATTTCATTTTAAATATTCTTGTTACCTGTTTGGAGAATGTCTCTGTTTCTTAATTTGGGTGGACTGTAATATGCTCATGCACAAATCTAGAATTTTCAAAAGGGTAGGCAGCAGAAGATGGTGAGTTGCATCATCACATATAAAACAATGCACATTTTTCTCCAGTTAAAAATAACTAGAAGCTTTACTAATATGCTAGGGACCTAGGGCTGTATTATTCAGTTTAAGACTGAAGGAAAAATAAATATAACGTCATTGGAATGAGTCAAAAACAGTCTGCAGGGCTGTGAAATAGCTGCTCCTGGTCATGAAACTCCTAACACACAGTGGAATTACAGGACAAGGGATAGGCTGACTTGTGGAACCTCAAGACCATTAAAAAGAAGAGGGGCATTCATACCCGTGGAATGAGGAGTTTATAAGGGATCAGGGAGATGGTAAGGAGCCAGGAAGTCAAGTGACTCCCTCAGCACTGTCTGACTAGAAATGCTGCTGGCACAGCCAGGCAGTTAGCTTTGAACTTTGACTGGACCAGGGATCAAAGAGGGGTGCAAGTTTCCCCCTCCCCGATCCACCCCTGAATATACTCCTACCACAGCATCATTGAACTCCCTCCTTCCCCCCTTTATCATGACACAGATATACTTAACAGATCTGCTGCTCTCATTCTCTTGGACCTTCAGCAAGTGCACACAATCTTGATATATGGTGCAAGGATGCCCTTCCCCCTGTACCTGTCATTCCAGAACAAGCTATAGTAGTATTTAGTATAGTATTAGTATAGTTAGTATTTCAGTTTTGGGATTTATTCCACCAAGTCACTGTAATGCTAAGTAAATAGTAATTTTCTTTACATATCAGAACCAAACATTTTCATGTTTTGAAAACAAATGTATATGTGTACATGTCTGTGTGTGTTTTAATTTTCTTTCCATAGAAAATTTCACAGTAGAGTGGCTTTTCATTCCAGTTGGAAATGCAAACAGATTTTAACGTGTTGGAGTGTATTATAGAATAGAAATTCCATTTTCCAGCTTGCTGTACCGAAAGCATTAGAAAGGTCCAGTTATCAGATCAGGTGCGTTTAGTCATTCAGTTGGAATCATATCGGCCAAAGAACTAGCTAATTATAGGTGACTTGTAATGGTTGCACTTAAACGTTTGGGAGGTTCGTTTTGGATTAGAATTTAGAAGCCCAAATGCTGTGTCTGTAATGTATCCATATGACTGTTTCAGCCTCTGAGATCTGCAAAAGGGAGTTGGGACTCTCACAAGGACAGGATTATCCATGCAGGCCTTCTTATTCACAATGTTCAAGTGGGAAGTGATGTGAACACAGCTTTTTCCCAGGACACTTTGGACTAGATGTAGTCAACCATCTTATGGGAGACGGTAAAAAAACCCAAAACAGCCCATCCTGCGCCTTGCTTTCTTTCAGAGCTGTCTGCATACAGGCATTTGACCTGCAAGTGGTTAACCCCTGGTCACTGCTCCCCCAGTTGCTCCCACTATTGCTGTGGTCAGGATCTCAAGGCTCCTGCTCCCACTTCCTCTGTTAGTAGCTCATCTCTTTTGTGCAGTAGACCTGGTTTCTGTTCCCTGGCCCACCTCCTGCTCCCATCTTGGCTACAGGGTGGCATAGCTCTCAGGTCCCTGAGGGGCCTGCTGCCACTGCAGTATGCTGAGGAGCCCACCCAGCATACCTTCCAGCAGCCCAAAAGCTGGACAGTCCTGCCTTACTTAAGAGCCCTTGTTTGGGAAAGATACCACCATACAACAAATGCTTACAATTGTATTCAGTGCTATTCAATACAGGTTCTCTGATTGTTGTGCAGAATTTTATCCAGAAGCTGTCAGTAACAATTAGATGGAGAAAATAGAGAATGAGGTAAAGTATGCAGATTATGATTTATTCTCTCTCCATTCAGTTGAGTGCTTTGTTTTCAGTAAGTTATTTAAAGACTTCATTTTCTAGCACCCTCTTCTCTTGCTCCTGGCATACGTACATTTTGTGTGCCAGTTCAAATAAATTGTTATGGATACCTGATTTATTTAAATTTGTTCACAACTTGTGTGGAAAATCTTTCTTAGGATTTATGCCAAATCTCCATTAGGACTATCCTGCCAGTATAGCTATGCAGCATAGCTGTGCAGTTTTGCTGTTATAAAACCCTGGTGTAGTGTGCAGGACCACTGATCTCTACACACTTCATCACTTTCCTGATATATTTAGCGCCAGCAGGAGTCTGTAGCCTAGACATAGGCTACAAGTACCATTCTAATGATTCAGCTGAAGTTTGGAGGGTAATGAGGGAACACTTGAATTATGCTAACTCCCCCAAAATTCTGTCAAGATAAGGGTCTGAGCACTGGTTCAGCAAATCTCTTAAATGTGCACTTAATTTGCAGCAGAAGATTTCAGCATGTGCTTAATTAAGTGCTTTTCTGGGCCAAGAGCCTTAATCAGGACAGCCATTTTAATTGGGATGAAAGGGTAAAAACAGATGTTGCCAGACTTGTCCCACCTCAGCTCATCCACCTCATTGGGTGAAATACATGTTGCCTGTTGTCTTGCATCAGGCAGGGCGATGTATTCTCTCATTAGTGACAGGGAGGTGGGTGCATGTGCACCCCCTGAGCTTGGTGGTGCACCCCCTGCAAAAAGCGCCTCCAGTGCTACTGCCAGTGCCTGCAGGTGGTCTCCACTCACCACCGCTCCTCCCCTCTGTCGCTGTTGACACCACCGCTGGCGGTGTCTGTGGGCAGTCCCTGATTGCCACTGGCCGCCACCGATGCTGCCGGCAGCATCTGTGGGTGGTTGCCAAACACTGGTAGGCGCTCGCCAAACCCCCTCCTTCTCCCCCCCTCGGCCCCCCCACATGGAAGTGTGGATCCTGGCGTGGAGGTGTGGGGCCCTGGAATGTCTTTATGTCCCACACTGTTTCGTGCCTCCTTCCTGTGACTTGTACCTCTGTATAAAGCATGGGTTGGTGTGGGACCCAGCGCAAGTTGCAGCATGGAGGCACAGGTCACTGGGGATTACCCAGGTCCTATGCCTCCCTTCTGGGACTCATGTAGACTTTCCCCACTTACAGAAATGCCTCTGGAGGTCCTGGGGCAGGTCTCTGTAAGTGGGGAACCCTAACTTTTCCTGCTTAGGTGCCCCAAGATTAGCTGGGTTGTGTCTGTGTATAAGCAGGGAAAGCCAGGCAGATGCTCCCAGGGTTGGAGGGTCCCAATCCTGAATGGGATTTCCTGTGGTGTACCCGTTCAGGCCACTTGAACTCGCAAAGCACTGTCCCAAGTCATCTGGAGACTGGGCAGCTCTGGACGACTCACACTCTCCTGATGCAGTGAAAACAGATGTCTGCATCAATAAAGCAGCACGCTTTTACACTACGTTTTGTCACGGCCACTGATACAGTGCAACAAAGGGTAGGGATGTCTTTTTGCTTGCCATTTATGCCACCATAACATTTTTTATGGCAGTATAAATACAATATTTGTTTCTACCCGTAGAGTGTACATCAGCACATGCCAGGTGTAGTGCTCATTGTACAAATCCATTGTGTGTGAGATTTCAGAGTTTTCCTAGCTCAGTGATTGCTAAGGCCCAGTTCTTCAAAGGCATTTGGATTTTTGCCTCCCATTAAAATCATTAGGTTTTAGGTGATTAAATCTCTGTAGATCTCTGCTGACATGTTTATCTTTAAATATTTGCTTTTGAAATAATAAACAGAAAGCCACCCTCCATAGATGATGCTCTTGTTTTCTTGAGGTTTGAGAAATAAATCAGACGTAAAAACATGAAAAAGCTAAATCTGTTTAACATGATCACTTGTTGCTCATTTCACTCTGGAAAGGTTAACATCTTTTATGACTGAATGTACATTACACTGTACATGGAGAAGATCACAGGTACATACTTTGTCCAGGCTATAACAACAAACAAGCTGTTGACAGTTTTAGAATACATCATACGAATGTTTTCGGAAGGTCACTGAGAATTGTGTAGGTGATTGAGACAAGGTAGGATAAGAACACTGTTAGCTTTGGTCAGATGGACTGCATTTGATTAGGAAACAATGGTGTTGCTTAATGAGAATCCCAAATCTTTTGTCATCTTACTCTTTTTTTGGATATGTTTGTTAATGTTGCGCACACAGTAACCGCATTACGTGCCTTCTTTATAGGGAAGTGTAAATGTAGGTTAGTTCTTTGCATTCTTTGACAGAAAGAACTTGCACAATAAATATGATGAGCTGCTTAGGATTTTGCATGTGGGTAGTTCTTTGCTTTGTTTTGGCTGTGTACCCTCATTTAATTTTACATTTCCCCCCCTGGTAATTGTCAGCATTCCTGTTGAAATGAAGGACCACTAAGGGAGGCCTCCTGTGGCTAAAAGTTACACTTGTAGATTTTCAAATGCATTAACAGCCTTCCCCCACCCAAAGATGATATCTTAAGAAAAATATGGTTTTTATTTCAGTGGAATTGAGTGGGGCTGTTACTATAGTTCATTTAAATTTCTATGATCATTTTTCCATTAGTTTGGTTACAAATATTTTTTAACAGTTTTCTAAAGCTAAAATTCATGAAAGCAAATGTGATCATGGGTAACTTGTTTTTGAAAAGCCAAAAATGAAACCGATGATTAAATCATGTATAAAAGCCACTATGATATAAAATATATAACCATGTAGTTGGGTAATTTAAAGAAAAGGCATTGTGACTATATCTGTTTAAAACTTTCTGTCACTGCCAGTAATAATGCAGCTCCTTTTGCGGTATTTTATGTGGTTTTGACAACTGCTACACTATTTATCACAGTGTCATACACTAGCTTTCCTACTGTGTTACTGCTTGCTGGAGCTGCTGCTATAATAATAATCACTGACATTTTTAAAGTATGACCTCAGAAGATGTAGCCAGTTAGTGCTAGCTATGTCTCCACTTAATAAACCTTTTCTTTGGTGTCACAGGAGACAAGGTAACTGGTTGTCTTTATTCTAACATAAGCATTTACATAGCTAAAAAAATTGTTTAGGAATTAGGTTAAATACCCTATGGAAAAAAACTTCTACTATTACTTTCTGTAATGAATGTAGACTCTGTAAAAATTGTCTAAATCTGTGGGGAAGCCATTATTTGGTTTTAAAAAATATATATTAGGGAATTGGGGATAGCTACATTGAAGACCTATTTTTGTAGAATAGGAAATAATTGCTCTTTCATTTTAGTTCTTGCATAAACTGATAGACTCCAGCAACAACATAAGATTTTAGAAGAGCGACTTGTCATGGGATATTTAAACACCAATAAAGGCAGTAAAGGTTTTTGTTTGGGTTATTAATTTTGTTGCTCTTGTTTGGATTATGTTGATGTTATATAATATAGTAACAGTAAACTTACAGTTTATCTGCAAAGGGGAAAGCACTGGGCTTGTGTCTTCCTGATTTATGATTTCTAAAGTAGGCCTGAGGGTTTTACTTGCTTTTTAATAAAAAATGTAGTTCTAGTTTGTTTTTGATGACTGAAATACTAATGCAAATGATGATACCAGAGAAGCTATGAAAGTATAGGTTTCATCAATGGTGCAGAAGAAGGGATTGGTTTTGGTAGTTTATCATTTAAAAATGATAATACCTGTTTAGTTGCAATAGGTAATCCACGTTTGGAAAAAAGAGAGGCCTTTGGCTGTGTACATACGTTCAAATGATCTAGGAGAATTCTCCTGGATTTATTTTCCTGGTAGAAAAATTTACCCAGAGATGCCTGAACAGATATTTGAATGCTGAACCCCTAAACAACAGAGAGCTTGCAGTGCTGATGCTGCACAGCCAGGGGGACTGTGCACTCTGGGATGCTGAAGGACTGTGCTGTAGCTTCTTCTGGAAGATAATGTATACAGCATTCGTTCTCCTAGGAGAAGCTCTTGGCAGTGATTTAACCCTGGTTGTTCCCAGGGTGCTTTTCTCCTAGCGTGACCATTTTTGATTGTGGAGAAAAATTCTAAACCTTTGTATACTTGTAGTTTCTCCTGGGAAACTATGTTAGAAAGATAATGCCAGCTCTTGATTTACAACAGTAGCTGTAAGACCCTCTCTAATGGTACTTAAAGGAAGAATGGATTTAATATTCCTAATTCTTCTAAGGCAGAAAACAAAGCTGTGTCTCCTAACCCTTTTTTTTAGGGTACCCTTATACATTGTGAGGAAGGAAAAAATCCTCTTTAGGTTGCATTTTAATTGCTTTTGTCTCTGATAGTCACAGAGATAATGAAGAATAATCAGTATGTGATCCTGTGACCTTCAGAGGAGGTCAATTTCCTCCTCTTTTTTGTTGTAAAAGAGAGATTCTTTTAAATTAAGCACCCCAGATGCAACAGTAACACAGGCCACCTCTCAGGGTCTTTCTGACAAGTCGTAAGGCAAGAGATTTAAAAATGCAGACGAACAGGACTGTCATCAGAAGGCTGGTTTCTCTCTGGCATTGGATAATGTGTGATCCAAGCTTTAGGGCAAGTCTCAAATCCAGAATCTTTTGCTTCAGGTTTGAGAGAGAGCTGCTGGCTGAATGAAGTTCATTAGCATTTGAAGGTAATTTTTCAAATTGTTGTATGGTGTTTTATGTTCACAGGAGTCATGTAGCAAGACTACTTGCAACCCTTGGGAACTTACCCTTCAGGTTCCAGTTTAAAGTCATCATTAGTCCCTGCAGTCTGTTAGGGTGTACTAATGACCGTGGACAGGTATTACATTTGTATCAAGAAATACGTTCACTTAGCATGGCAAAAAGTAAACATACAGCAATTCAGGTAGTTTTTCATGGAAAAATACATGGTGGGTGCATGATGAAATAGTAGCTCTTTCTAACAGTAACTTTTCAGCACTGCTTCAATTTCTAGCACCACCTAGTAATGCCTTTGCACTTACAGGTGCACCACAGGGCATGGTGCGGTCCTCCAGTATCCCAGAAGGCTTTGCTCCCATCTCCCCCATGTACTTCCAGCTACCCTCCCCCTTCCCCCCCTGCTCCTCCTGCACACACATACACATACAGCTCCAGGGAGTTTGTCTGTCATGCAAAACTCGACTGCCTAGGGCAGGAGGAGTCAGGTTCACAAGTCACCATGCGGATTTGTTTTCCACGTCTGTCTTTCTCTGTGAACAGGATAAAATCCTTCCTGTCCAAAAACCCCAATAAGAATCCAACTGCCAAATTCTCTGGCCATGCCAAAAACCTCTGTCCCTGTTGTGTCAGCATCTTTGGCATTATCAAGTCAAGAGGAAGGGTGCAGAGCAGGAAATTGTAGGTGGTGGAACTTGTGTCTGGGTACTTCAGGACGTTAGCTCTTTTGCTTTTACAAGTGATAAATCATGGTTGGGGTGAAGGGGAGACTCTTCAGCTTCTTCTCTGAAGCAGAGCCCCACCTGAGGTGGTGCCAAAGGTGGCACAGCCAGGAAGTGCAAGTGTGCTTGGCACGGTGATCAGCTGCTGTAATTTGGAAAGGCCTTGGTTGGGGTAAGGGATAGTCCCCAGGGCCCCCTTCCTGAAGTGGAGCCAGTGTCAGAACCTCCCTCCTGTTGCTGACCTCCCAGGGGTAGGCCTTGACTCTGTGCTGGCAGGAGTACAGCATGCACTGAACCTGCCAGCACTGCTGAAATGGGAGCCACGGGGCATGTAGTGGAAACTGAACACGTGTCCTGTAGCTTTGTACTCCCAAGTGTGGCAGGGGGGGAGGGGAGGGGATGGGGGAGTGGTTCCCTGGACAGCCAGCCAATAGGCATTTTCCTCTGCATTCAGCTGTCCTGCACAGATGGAGGCCTCTGCAAAGCATCGTGGGATTGCTGCATGTCAGCCCCCTGGCTGCAGAGTGCCTGTGGTACATACTCTTGTCATGCTCTGCACTGCTCCATACAACCAGGACTTGAGTGTCTGGATGTGCATTTCATGCTAGCTTTGTGGTGCTGCAAATCCCCCTGAAATTCTTACCATTTCAAATTAATGCCTGTTCATAGTTGATGTGAAGGGGAGAGAGAGATGGCAGTGCTGGAAGCTGTTACCTGTCCTTATCTTCATGTAAGTTCTGCAGCACCCATCCTGTGCTGCTTGCCCTTATTCCATTCTGTGTAGATATCCAAAAGTCAGAAATTTCTTACCTTTTAAATTTATAGTTAGTATAAGTAAATCATCAGAGAGGCACTCCATGTATAATTCAGCACATTTCTATATTCTTGAAATGGAAAAAAGAGATTAATAAGTGTAGATGTCTTTACTGAATAAAAGGAATTACTGTTGAAGCGTGTGTCGTAAGCGGGGAAGCTGACTTTCTATCCAGAACAGAAGCATGGAGACACTGTAAGATGGCTTCTGTTGCTGCTTTTCTTGCTTCCTTACTGTACAGGAAGGGAGGGGCAGGGTCCAATTTTCAGTAGATGCTACCATTTTAATTCTTTCACAGATGAATTGGAGCATGGACAGAGTTTAAGCTTCAACTCACTCACTCTTCCTTTCCTGCTCAGCCAAAAGCAGCCAACTCAGCTGTGAAAGGGTTGAAACCGAAGCTTTTGCCCGAGCAGGAAAGTGAGGGTGCCTGAATTGAAGATTAGGCTCTGTCTCTGCTCTACATGGTCATAACTGGAAATCTTTGTTCTTCACTCTGCTTTCCTCAAAATAAAATGTGTGGGGTATGTGAGGAAAATAGGGTAAAATCAGAATAGCGTTGTTTGGTGACTCCTTGTTACTTTATTTCTCCAGGGTTTGGGATAAAGTTATTAGTGGATCCTGCAAGATTCTTGTTTTTGTTGCTGTGGAGATTTTATTAACCTTCAAAATGAAAATCATGGCCCTAAACAATGCAGAAAAAATCACCCAGTTTCTGGAAAATGTAAGTACACCTTGGATTTTATCAGCACTGTAAAATATTGTTTGCAAGTGAAAACTTATCATTTACCCCCTGTTTCATTGTGAAATTCCAGATTGTGAAATCTGGAATTATAGTATCTCCCACTGTTCTGAGGACTAGCCATGCTGTCAAGATATGTTGAGTTGAGATTGACTTAGATTGATTAAGTTAGACCCAGCAAATTCAAATGTTTTTGTATATTACCGCTAAATAAATATGTATACACTTACATCTGAAATGATAAAACAAAACAAAAAAGTGGCCATCCTAATAGCTTTAGAAGTCACCCAAATGTTAGCGCCTTCTTTTAGAAGTTTTTCAGAAAGGAATCCATGAATCGGGGGGGAAACTATCCAGTCCTTGGGTTTTGGAAATGAATATTCAAGGGTTTACTTCAGTGGGGCAGATTGAAGTCACATACAGAAGAATCCACAGAAGTTATTGTGGTGAGGAGATCTACTCTACAGTAGTTCCCCTTATTGTCCCACTGGTGGCATTCCCATCTGAGCCAAGGTTTCCACGGGTGTCTAGATATGTGCTGGAAATTGCTATGCTATCTGTGTACCTTTATATTAGTTTATGACATACCTATCAAGCTAAGATTTGTTACTTCTCACTACTGAATCCTGTTCTATTTGAGGGGCCAAAGGGATCTCTGTGGATATACAAGTGCACCCTCAACATGGATTAGGATCTTTTGCAAATTCCCAGGAAGGCTAGTTGATTATACAAGCAAGCTGGTAGGCTATCTGAGGGGAATTTGTGCTTTTCTGATTCTCATTTGTTATACATGTTTTGTTTTTGTGGAAGATTGACAACCAGGTGAGAATCTGGAGTGAACAGAATGAAACAGAAGTCTTGAGTAATTGGAGAGACGGGTTTTTGTTTTTAGCATTTTTAACTTCAACTGGGACTTTCAAGATTTTACTTAGTCAAATTTAAATTAGTCACTCAATTAATCCCTCTTCCCCTGCCCTGATCTCTCTTAGATTCCACAAGACAACACGGATGCGATTGTGAGCAAAGCTATTGATTTGTGGCACAAACATTGTGGAAACCCAGCGCATTTGGTGTGAGAACTTGCTGAAGTATCTGCAGATTGGGAAAAGGTGCCTTTAGAAGGTATTTTCTTTCAAAGTATATAGTATGTGTGGATACCAATTTTCTATTTTCATTTATCATTTGCTATAAATATTCCAATAAAATAACTTGAAAAATTTGTTCACAGTGTGGTGCTTGATGTGTAAATATTTTTCAATAAAAATAGATTTAATGAAATGTTCTGGTGGGCTGTGATAATGTCCAGAGTGTTTCTTGGTGAACCGATTGCAGTATTCGTATCGGATAGTGTCACAACATCATTCTCAGGAAGTAATTTGTGGCACAGCCTTGAACGGGTTAGCATGAGCAGGTATACTAAAACATGAAGCAAAAACACTTTTGAATACTTTCTTATATTTGAGGACAAAGGAGTTAGTACTTGACTGTATATGTGTGACAGAGCAATTTTCCTTTGATGGTACTCCAGGCTTTAATCTTTAGGGCAGGTTATGAAAAGGAAATTTGTCTTTTGAGACTTTTAGCAGTCTAAGGAAATTATTAGGCTTCCTAATGCCAGTTTCTTAAAGTGAAACATTTATTGAACAAAATTTCCATTTACATTTCAAGGAAAAGCTCATGGAAGACTAGCCTGACACTAATATTTACTGGCTTCAGACTGTTTACTGGTATGTAATTAAATGCTATGGAAGTGCTTTGGAACAGTTGAACATACAGAGAAATGCAAGTGGCTTTCAAAGGCTATGGTTAATGGCTATATAACCTTGAACATGACTTTACTAGCAGTAGCAGCACTGTGCTACTTGCCAAAAGTGGTTTCTCTGAGTTATTGGATAGAAATTCTGAAATGCAGAGATAAAAGTGCCAAAAAATCCCCACTAAAGTGCTTGACTTATACAGATATTGGGAGTGCTGAGTCCAGTTAACACACTGCCACTTCTGGGCATGCACTGGTCTCGGTGCAGGAGCTCGCCGAGTTTAAAATAAAGTGCCGTTTGTTTGCTTGGTTTTTTTTCCATGTCTGCAGGGAGCCTTTGTGACAGAAGCTTGAGGGCACTGGAGGATATTGAGGTGATCCTGATTGAAATGCTTCATCACAATTAGATGCATTTTTTTCCTACTCTCTTCCTAGCCATCAAAGCTATCTTTTATCTTTTTGGATTTGATCCTGAGTAGTGGGAAGCACCTCCTAGCCCCTTTACTCAGTGGAAATTGAAAATGGTATGCATTTCCCAAGAGGAGGCATTTTGCCTGCTCAAGTTGTATACCTGTGTGTGCAAATGATGAACAGACCTTTCCCGCTTCTAACAGTAGTCATGCTAATGACAATAAATCTTATTGGATGAAGAAACTCGGGATGAATATATAAATGTGAAGTTTAAGAACAAAACTGTACTGGATTATGGATGTTTGTCTTTAGTACGTGAAAAGTAGCTTCAGTCGCCTACAAAAAAACTCTGTCTTATTTAAATTAAAAATAACACTTGTACAGTGGTAGACAACTAATCTACACCTCTTGAAAATTCCTAATTTGGAAACACTTACAATCACTTTTTTTTCCTGACATGTTTTACTTTCTAGCTTTTATAAGTAACCCTTAAGATTACTGTAACTGAAAAAGAGAAGGGTGGTGGGGAAGTGGAGCATCACAAGCGGGTCTAGGGAAGTGATAATTCCCCTTTATGCGGCGTTCGTGAGGCCGCAGTTGGAGTTACTGCGTCCAGTTTTGGGCACCGCACTTCAAGAGGGATGTGGATAACCTTGAGAGGGTTCAGAGAAGGGCTACTTATATGGTTGAGGCCCCTATGCAGACAGACCGAGGGACCTGAATCTCTTCAGCCTCCACAAGAGAAGGCTGAGAGGGGATTTTGTGGCTGCCTACAGACTCATTGGGGGGAGCAGAGAATAGGGGACACTGTTTGCTGGGGAGCATCTTGGGGTTACCAGAAATAATGGCCACAAACTGAAGGAGAACAGAGTTAGATTGGACATAAGGAAAAAATTCTTTATAGTAAGGGTCACCAAAATACGGAATGGGCTCCCAAAGGAGGTGGTGCTTTCCCCTACCCTGGAGATGTTCAAGAGGAGATTAGGCAGGCATCTGGCTGGGGTTACCTAACCCCACAGCTCTTTTCTGCCTGGAGCAGGGGGTCGGACCTGATGATCTACCAGGTTCCTTCCAACTCTAGTCATGGCTGAATTCTGGCTGCATGGGATCCTGACTGAAGTTTAACACTGTAGCTCTGACCCTGAAGGATGAACGCTATCCCTTCCCTCCTTAAGGCTGGCAGAGGGGGAAGCATGGCAGCCATCTTAGAGCAGTATCTCTCTGCTTCTGTTCCAGTGAAGAAAAATCAGCTTCCCCACTTAAGACATGCCCTCCAATTTTGGAGGGCTGATTTTTGCGAAAATGTGAGTAAATGTAGTGAAATGCTTCTGGCTCCCAAAGAGAGTGAAGTCCCCTTTTAGCCTCTGTGAGAAAAGGCCTTCTCTTCCTATTTTGCAATCTTTTGTGTGTAGATCTTATGAAAAACCCAATAGGAGGCTTCAGACATTTCATCTGAGGTCATGGAAAACATGACACTGGTCACAATCCCATGCATGCATCACACCTTTGTTTAAAAAATCTAGCTCTAACATTTTCTTCCCTCCTGTGGTTTACCTAACACTAAACCTTTATATTAAAATTTGACTCCAATGACACTTGCACATTTCTCAAAGGCAAAACAACTTGCGGAAAGCTTGTGGAAGTCCTAGTGTAAGTGTACCTTATTCATTCATTTAAAAGAAAAATGTAATGTTAGGCATGTTTGAGAAATTCCTCTTCAGTAAAAAGAAAAAACACAGTCCAGTGTAGTAACAAATGGACTGTGTGGGAAGCTTTTCATCTCTGCTGTATATTGCCGATTCATAACCGGTGCAGGTTTGTAGCAATTGAAAACCATTACCTTTACAGTTGATGCTTCTTTGCAGTCACAGTCACTAAGAGCCAGAAACCTTTTTACCAGCAACATTTCCCTGGCAACATTTTACACACCATGTATTCAGATGACATGCCCTGTAATAGCAACAACCACTTAATAGCAACATAGCTTCAAAGTACCAGCATGCTGCTACTATAAGTGTCGTCTGTAATGCTTATTTGGTTTGTGTGAAGTATGTTTGGTCTCATTCCCGTTTTCATGGGGAAAATGACCCTATAAAATCAATTAATGAATAAAGAGGAGTCTAGCAATGAACTGCCTTGGACCAGGAGTGCCAAATGCATTCAGCCCTGTGGGCTGTATGAGCATCCCTGAGCTGGTCTATTGGGCAGACCAGGCCTGACCCCCTGTGGAGTAGCCACGGTCCCTGCTTTGGCCCCAGAGAGCTATGTCCACAGCAAGCCCTGGGACCCACTGGTCTAGCATGTGGCACAGAGGGCTGGTAGCGGTACGTACTCCATGCAGTACCCTGCTGGCCAGCCAGTGTGCTGTGGGTTGGGCAGCACACTGCATGTAGAGTGTGCCCCATGTTGGAGCTCTGTACCATGTTCTGGACATGCAACTGGCCCAGCCCTGAACACTGGGCAGCATATGCCAGCCCCAGGGCTTGCTGTGTATATAGCCTCCTGGTGCTGGCATGGGGCATACAGTACTGGTAGTGTGTGGGCTGCACCTGGTGCTGCATACAGAATGGGGTCTGGGGTGGGGGCTGCATGTGGTGCCCAGGACTGAGCCCAGTGCTGCATGCAGTACTAGGTCCAGCCTGTACACTGCATGTAGCATGCTGATGCAGCATGGGGTTGGTCCAGCCATCTACAGGCTGGATCAAATGGCTCCATTGGCCAAGATTGGCCCTCAGGCCACATGTTTGACACCCCTGCCTAAGATAGTCTGAGCTTCTCTTGGCTGCTTACAGATGAAACCACGAGGAGACACATTTACAATTGGAAAATAGGTTATTTCGAAATATTTTGCCTGACATGCTTATTAGTAAAACAAGACCTACCCGCAACAAAGCCATGCTGGCTGTCATTCAGAATCTTACCTTCCGCGAGCGTAGCGCACATAGATTCTTTAATGAGCTTTTCCAGGATTTTCCCTGGGATAAAGGTTAGTTTGATTGGCCTATAGTTACCTGGGTCCTCCCTCTTCCCCTTCTTAAAGATGGGCACAATGTTGGCCCTCTTCCAATCCTCAGGGATCTCCCCTGTGCTTTGCACCTAGTGTAGACAGGAAAATCATATTTAAATTTGGATTACCTGGTTGTGCTTAACTCAAGACGAGGCCTAGGGTTAAACATGTCTCGGCCGGGTAGAGCCGACCGAGGGAAACGCTGGTTAATTAAGCGAATGTCAGGCGGGCTGGTGGATGGAGAGGCAAGGCAGCGTATTGGTTGGAAAAATAGCTTTTACTTAGGCCGCTGGTGGCCGCGACGCAGGCTGTAAAGGCTGCTTGCGTAGTTGCAACGAGTTGCTCCAACTGGCAAAAACCCGAGACAGTGAGTCCACAAACGAACCGGGCATGCAGGGAAAGGGTACGTCGGGGATAAGTGTTCGGCGACGGGGAGAAAAATCGATAGTTGATCAGGCTATCGATTCGCTCTGCCATGAGTCAGGAATTCTTTTAAGTCACTCTGCAGCGTGCTCAAAGTTCTCCGACTTGGGTGGAAGTCGCGCGGATTTTTATACGGCTAGCGAGCCAATTACTAGCCGTCAAGTAGGAATAATTTAGAATCAGCCAATAATGGGGTGCAAATTTACATACAAATGGCAGGAACCTTTTTGCACTGGAGTTTACTCTTTGCAGCAGAAAACTCCACCCTGCAAAGAAGCTCTAGTGTGGCGGGAAAATTCCACTGTGCCGAGGCACTAAAAATCATTGGGTTGTGACATGCCCCCTTGCCGACGGCACAGCTGGAATTATAAACACATGTACATGTTATAAGTAATTTTCGTCTGAGGACTCATCGGCTTTACAAAGCTTAAGTAATTAACAAATACATATAAACAAACAATTCTATAGACCGGTCTTCAATAAACTATAAAATACAATAACTTAAACATATAACAACAATTATTGGTCATCGTCTGACTGGAGAACATCTATTTGGGACTCCCCTTTCTTATTAGTTAGTGAAATGTGCTTCATAACGAAGTAGTCGCCACAGAGCGTCCGTCTATTTCCATAGCAGACAATGTCAACTAAAATACTTACAAGCATTAGAAAGAGAGTTCCACCCACTGCACTACCGATGATGGTACCCCAATTGCCTTCCTGCATTACTGTTAAGGTTAATGTTGACGCTAGACTTGTAATGCTATTAGTTGAAGGATACCATGAAACCGTAGGTGGTCGTGTGGTAGAACGATCTAATATGTAAATAGTCTTTTGATCGCTTCTTTGACCAAGGGAATTTGTCACCCTACAAATGTAAGTCCCAG